CCAGTGGGCACCTGAAAAAAACACTTTGCTGACTGTGTCCCAAGGCTGGACTGGCCTTAGCCCAGTCTCCCCAAAGTCTTTTGTGTTGCTTTGTCAGCTCTTGCCACCTCTGGTCTATGTCAAATTCATGCAGTTGTTCTGAAGTGGCTGGCAAGGGTGGGAACACATGGAGAGGCCAATAGGTGTTCATCTTCTTTTGTTTACTGACCCCAAAATATCAGTATATAATGTCTTCCTCAATTTAGGGAAGATACATTCCTGTATCTTGGTGACTGCTTCAGCCCAGGCAGCTAAAAAAAGTGAGTAGGGAACACAGTTAAGAGAAGGCAAAATGTATGCTATTTACTAGATTTTTGCCACAGAGTGTGAATCACTGAAGTATTTTCTTAGGAGTAAGGTGGTAGTAGAATACAAAGTCCATTGCCCCACTTAAAATGCAAGTTGTTGGGTGGTTGTTTTTTTTTTTTTTTAATTTCCAGATAGTAATCTGAAACTTGCACTTCCATTTGTTTCTCATTGGGTGTCCATTAATTTTATTCTTTATGTCGTTGTAATCTGTAAATATATATATTTGGACTATGGACCTGTCAGTTTAACCAGGAAAGAGACTGGAGCTTCAGCAGTAATATTAACAAACTTCAACTTTTAACATTTCTGATTTACGTTGTTTCATTACCATGTGACACACGAGGTCAGGGAACACATGAATTTTACACTCCAGATGAAAGACCTGGGTTTTGGTACGTCTTTAAAACAGAACTCCATCTCTATCACAGGAAAGATAAAAGAAACAATTAGGAATTTAACATCTCTTCATCTACCTACTTGTACTAGTGTTATGAGAAACCTCCCAAGCTTTATGGAGAACATGCTTTAACTTTTTCCACAATCAAAGGTGCCTCACACATAAAATCCATAATCATGCCATTGCATGTAATTATTCCATCTCTGAACTTTCACGCCAGACAGTCTCCTACATCCCAGTACAGCTGCCTAAAGAAAGCAATAAATGAGAGAGACATTAAACTAATCTCAAGGACCTCCTTTTTCTTCAAGCCAGCCCTGATGTGGTTTTGTGTTACTTACTCCAATCTAGCTGCAGGCTTATGCTAAAAGAAGCAGCCCTGCTCCCCCACCCCTTTCTCTAGGGTGTTTTTGCATAGCTTCCCCTTCACCAGACCTCGCCTGGTGTGGCTGGAGCATGTCTCAATGCAGCACATTGATCTTACAGAAAACTAATCAGCCAAAGAAAAAAACCCTCACGCTTATCAACTGTACCTGCTAGTGTTAATTTTTTGTGAGCCACATTTATGATGGCTGGACAGCCTCTGCGGCAAGGTGGTGTGTTTCTGCATCAGCTCACAGAGGGCCACGTACGCCACTCAAATCCTCAGTGTTTTCTGAGGGCCAAGTGTACTTGCAAGATTGCACTTACTTCAGTTTTTCAAGACATTTTTTTGTACACTATGCAAAAATACCATTCTGTCCACAGCCATGGCAAGAGGAGGTTAGAATGGACCTGAGTGAAATCCACGACTCGCGCTATTGCCGTAGGAGAGGAGCTATTCCATATTTAATAAACCACGGTCATGTCCTTTACCATATGCAGGACTGTGTGAGAAAGGTGTGGTATAGATGGGAACTGGGAAGCCTGGGAGAATGATTTCCTTTTAAAAAAAGAAATATTATTGTTGTGTCAGTTTCCAATTTTTAGGGCCAAGGAATGAATTGCCAAGGCTTCATAAATCACCCACTGCTGCCTTTATTGCTTCCTGGAAGGAATTCTTGGTAATGGTGTTGGCTCTTCTGAACATGCGCTAGGAGAAATAGCAACACCCTTATTCATGTCATGTTTTCATTTGATTTTCGTTGAACTGTGTCAGGTCTTCTCAACATCTCTCAGACATCCAAAAGCAAATCGTGAGAAAAGCGAAGTGTAGCTGGACACCATTGCAGTGCCGTTAGCATTGTACCAGTCTTGTCTTCACAACACAAGGGAGGATTTCAGTCACCAGGCTAGATCTATTCAAGGAATTTCCTTGCCCCGGTGCTGAGTGCTTAATTAATGGTCTTTAAGCTTTCTTAATAGTCTTTATATCCTTTGAGCAGGCCACAGGACAATTCAGCACTGCCTGTCTGGCTAGGAGAGCCCATATGAAGTAACTGCTGTAGCGTCTCTAATAAGATCTAATAGAACTACTTGAGCAACTTCATCTGCCCTGACTGACTCTTAATTTACTCACAAAACTTGTAGTTTTGTGTGTCAAAACCAGCAGCTTCTGTTTAATAAAATTCTTGTGGAGTAAGTTAGCTCTTGCCAGTGTAGGAATCGGTCAGCTGGCAGTATTAGCAAACAGTTCTCATCCAAGCTCAGATTTTTAATAGGTCTTGTGTAGCTCCAAGAAGCTTGAGGATCTTAAAACTTGCAAGAACTTCTGCAGTGTTTTGTCCCCTAGAAAAGGCTGGTGGAGTTAAAAATCAGAGAAGTTGTTATCACTGAGCATTGGTTTCCTTTTGCTTAATCCGTTTTTGGTTGAAACCAGCCTCTGTTTCGAGTCTGTGGTGTCAGTGCTGGATGACAAATTGTTACGGACTCCTAATCACCTCACTGAAAATGAAGACAGGAGAGGGCTCGTCTGCCTCAGAGCCATCCAGAATCCGGAGGTTTAATCCACCTCTGAGGATGACCATCAATATGAATGCAGTATTTACTGCAGTCCCTGCAGTAAAGTTGCTTTGTGAATACAACCCATGGCATCTTCCACATCTGAGCGTACCTGAATGTTGAATCCACATCTAATCCTACCTGGAATGCTGAAAATGGGCTAAGCTGTGTACAGCTTACCACAGCTGTAGCATGGGGCCATTGCTGGAGCTTGGACCTGGCGATTACTAATTTCTCTGGTGATTTGGGACAGGAAT